GTTTCTCATAAATAATTTATCATTTACTTTATATACAATTTTTATTAAATTTTTTACTCATTGTATTAAATAATGACTTAAACTCAAGAATATGTCAATGATTTTCTGTCTTATTACTCAACAATATCTTCAATAAAATAATAATTATTTATAAATGTATAATCAAATCACAAGTTTCTCATCAATCAAAATATAAATCTATTTTTAAGCATAAAATATTGATCATGGAAAAACTAAACCAAATCACTATTTTATCTAATATCACCACTTTATTACTTGACTCTTATTAAACAAAAATCAATTTGGAAATATGTGTTAATATTAAATATTGCTTTTTAATATAGTGATTAGTTGTATAAAAAATTCTTAGTTAGTATATTAAATTCTTGCTCAAAAATCTAATTAAATTTATCCAATATTTTCTTTAAAATAAACAAATTCCGCAACAAATATTAAAATTAAATTTTTAATGTAATTAAATTATATTTTACATTAGTAAAAGTACTTTCATTTTGATATTTCATATTAATGCTGATATAAGATACATAAGATTTAAAACGAAAAATTTGCTAAAAATAAGTGAGTAATGAATTCCTCAACACTAGAAGAATATTCTTTTATTTCACTTATAAAACCCAAAGGGGTTTCCAAACGATTAAAGTATTCATTTTTATCGGTGAATATAGAATATGCTTTGAGTCACAGAATATTCTATTCGTGCAAAACATTACTTAAATTCTGTGCACACATTCTGTGCATAACATTGTATACATGATTACGGTTACCGTTAACTTATCCTATAGTTTATAGTTTATGGCTCGAGTCCTACCCGTCCTATACAACCATATAATACTCGACACACGAAAACTAATTAATCAGAAAAAATACGAAAACTTTTTCCTCTCAACTTTTCGCTAATTAATAAAAATTCACTATTTATTGAGAAACAGTGATTTGAAATTGCGATAAAAATGTTTCACTTATAACATAACAAATGTGTTATGTTTTACCGTATCAGTTGTGAAACTCTAGTCTCTTATGTATAGATTTAATTTGCAATGTTTTAGAGAAACACACAAAAAACTAATGATTAGATTAATGGATAGGAATTGTGTGTAAAGAGTATTTGCTATAATCTCAGTGCCACATTAAATAGTATAGCCTAGTTTAATTACGAGTATAATATTAATCGCTATTATGAGTGCATATATTGTATGCATATATCTATTACATAACATTTGACTGCATAAATGACTGTCATCTGTAAGAAATGCATCCAAACTCTATCCACTGAATCCAATTGAGTGCCATTCAAATCAATACAATTCATTCATTTCTTATCGCAATTAATGAATCAGTCATTGTTGTCACCACCGGATGGCAGTCACTGAACACCACTTCATATTCTCTATGAGTAGACTCCATGAGTGGTTCAATAGCATACACTTACAGTCAATACTCGCTATACAACACACATCGACTCACAAACAGTTTGCACACACTTTAGCTAATCACTGATTAAGATAATTATCAGCAGTTTATATCTCATATAACTGACACATATGATGGTCAGTACATGAGTGTTGATGGAAAAGGTGATGGGTGGATGAGTGATGAATGGTGTGCAGTGTATAGGACTGGTGGGCGTAAATGGCGGACCGGTATCTATGACACGATGTCTCTCTCTATGAGTCTCGTGTGAAGTGTTCACTAATGCATAGACTGTAGGCATAGACCAGTGTATGAGTGGTTGAGTGAGTGTTAGTGAATGTCTCATGAATTTATCGATTAGTCTTCACTATATCATCAAACCATTGATTTACACATAAATAACACTTATATTTAGTTTAATAATCATCTGAATCGATCCAATTGAGTGCCATTCAAATCAATACAATTCATTCATTTCTTATCGCAATTAATGAATCAGTCATTGTTGTCACCACCGGATGGCAGTCACTGAACACCACTTCATATTCTCTATGAGTAGACTCTATGAGTGGTTCAATAGTATACACTTACAGTCAATACTCGCTATACAACACACATCGACTCACAAACAGTTTGCACATACTTTAGCTAATCACTGATTAAGATAATTATCAGCAGTTTATATCTCATATAACTGACACATATGATGGTCAGTACATGAGTGTTGATGGAAAAGGTGATGAGTGGATGAGTGGTGAATGGTGTGCAGTGTATAGGACTGGTGGGCGTAAATGGCGGACCGGTATCTATGACACGATGTCTCTCTCTATGAGTCTCGTGTGAAGTGTTCACTAATGCATAGACTGTAGGCATAGACACATACTCACCAACTCACTCACAATCACTTACAGAGTACTTAAATAGCTAATCAGAAGTGATATAGTAGTTTGGTAACTAAATGTGTATTTATTGTGAATATAAATCAAATTATTAGTAGACTTAGCGTGGTCACCGAAGTGAACACATCCAGCGACACATCCAAGCAATCATTTCGTAACCGATATCTCATTCACGCCGTGAGTATTGATTGTTTGCTGTGTGGTTAGCGAACAAATGGTTACTAAACACAGAGTGAAACGGTAGTCTAAATACTTGCGAAACCCTTGAGTAAACTGGCGTATAATGTTCTGTAAATAATGATTCTTCAGCGCTTTTTCTAATCGTCGGAAAAGTGTATCAATTATAGACCGAAACGAGTGGTGAAAATGCCGGCCGTAAGAGGGGATGGGATGCGAGGTTTAGCCGTCTTTATATCCGACATCAGGAACTGTGAGTCTATTTACCATTTGATCCATGGTTTGAATTATCATTGAAAGCCATTCATCACGACTCGTGTCTCGCATTCAATACATTTCTCACACCAATACTTGTCAAACAAATGAGTGCTTTTGAGATAACATATCATCAGATCTTTTAGTGTCAAACGAGTTCATCAGTAGCTCTCAGTCTGGCAATTGTTTTGCTTTATAATTGAAATGAAATTAATTAAGATTTTATAAGAACTTGATTTGTGGCTAAAATATATGCCATTATCTGAATTGATGTTATGTTTGAATATTAGTTCAAATGTTTCACTCAATGCTTACTGTAATGCTGGAGGAATAATGAAAAGGGGTGTATATTATGCGATACTATGTGACTGAATACGAGTGTATGAATGCATAATGATTAGTGATATCCATTGAAACAATTGATTGATTAAATTGATTGATGAAAACTAATGGTGTGTTTGGTGTGAAGGTAAGAGCAAAGAGGCGGAGATCAAGAGAATCAACAAAGAGTTGGCGAATATTAGGAACAAATTTAAAGGCGATAAGACATTAGATGGCTATCAGAAGAAGAAGTATGTCTGCAAACTGTTGTTTATCTTCCTCTTGGGTCACGACATCGACTTCGGACACATGGAAGCCGTCAATCTCTTGAGTTCTAATAAATACTCCGAAAAACAAATCGTAAGCTATTTGTCACGAAATTGTTTGAAAGGTTTTATTGAAAGTTTTGCTTATATTTTAGGGCTATTTGTTTATATCGGTTCTCATGAATGCAAACAACGATTTAATGAAATTAATCATCCAATCGATCAAAAACGACTTGTCCTCGAGAAACCCCATTCACGTAAATCTGGCGCTTCAGTGCATTGCAAACATCGGCAGTCGAGAAATGGCCGAAACCTTCGGCAATGAAATTCCCAAACTGTTGGTCTCCGGGTATGCGAGCGATTGCCAGTGAACACGAAATTTGATATCTAATTGTTTGTCACTATTTGGCTATAAATTAGCGAAACGATTGATGTGGTGAAGCAAAGCGCTGCTCTCTGTCTCCTACGCCTCTACAGAGCTCTTCCCGATCTGACACCGAGTGGTGAATGGACTTCAAGAATCATACATTTACTTAATGATCAGCATATGGTCTGAACTGATATTTTGTTTGTTTAGATTGTGTTGAAATTAATGGCAATGATTGGTGTGTAGGGTGTGGTGACAGCAGCTGTGAGTGTAATCAATTCACTGGTCAACCGAAGTCCCGATGAGTACAAAGGCTGTGTATCGTTGGCGGTGTCCCGACTCAGTCGTATAGTGACGGCTTCGTACACCGATCTGCAAGACTACACGTATTACTTCGTGCCGGCGCCGTGGCTTTCGGTGAAACTGTTGAGATTACTGCAGAACTATCCGCCGCCCGACGACCCGGGAGTGAGAGGGCGTCTGAACGAGTGCTTAGAGACTATACTAAACAAAGCACAGGAGCCGCCGAAGTCCAAGAAAGTGCAACACTCTAACGCTAAGAACGCCATACTTTTCGAAGCAATTAGTCTTATCATTCATATGGACAGCGAACCCAACCTACTGGTGCGCGCCTGTAACCAATTGGGACAGTTCTTACAGCACAGGGAGACTAATCTCAGATATTTAGCACTCGAAAGTATGTGTCTTTTAGCCACCTCTGAGTTCTCTCACGACGCCGTTAAGAAACATCAGGACACTGTCATCAATGCACTCAAGGTCTCATTGCTTCCCATTTCATACAATCGCCTCCAATACTAATCATTGAAACGAT